ACTTGTGTTCGGACTGGATGAGTCGCTTGGGGGAAGCACGCAATTGAAATCGCCCAGTAGAATTACGTGCTCGGTGCGGTTGCGGAGATAGTAGGCAAAAGTGCTGTTGAAAAATTCTTCCCGAGCAGCACGCTGTGCAGTGCCCCACGGGGCATATAATGAACATTTCAAGAGGTCCTATCTGCATTGATCGATTCTCTTCATCGACTTTCTCTTTCGTTAATAACTCAGCTGCAAAAACATTCTCTGTTGTGTTTGACGTTTTGGATGCTCAATAAGAACCTTCTTTATCAAACTAAGTGGCAATAATAGCACGAAATCAGTTTGCATAGCCGTGGTTATCAAAAGAGAAAGTCGATTAAGAGAATCGATCAAAGCAGATAGGACCTTTTGAAATGTTTATGTAGATATGTTGACAAGAGTGATATCTTGCACTCGTAAAGCGATCAGCCGACCGTCTAACCCAAATCACCAACAAGTCGATAATTCGCCGTTTTTGCAATATAAGGCCAACATGCGGCTAATATAAAGTTTAGCATGCCCTATGTTAGCCGTGTATCAGCCTTATATTGCAAAAAGGCGAATTATCGGGCTTGTTGGTTACAGCCTTGCCAGTATTAAAAGCGTTTCCAGAAATTTCAACGGAATTATGCGAAAAGAACATCTGGCAATTTCTGGAAGACTTTCAAGGCCATTTTGGAAAATTACTTGACCCTTATTACCCATGTCACTTCACGGTGAAGTGACAACTTATCACTCATGGGGCGGATGTCACTACACGGTGATAAGGAAGTGATACTCAGAATAAGAGCCGTGATTGCCGTACAAATCAAATGGGAATCACTTCACCGTGACGACAAGTGACAAGTTTTCACCGTGTAGTGACATCCGTAATAAGCTCCATGGTGAAGTGATTCCCATTTGATTTACACGGCAATCACTTCAACGTGAGAGACAACTGGTCATTTCTCTTCGTTTACACCGTGAAGTGACACTCGCAATAAGGGCCAACTTCACGGTGTAAACGAAGTGAAATGACCAGTTGTCACTCACGGTGAAGTGATTGCCGTATAAATCAAATGGGAATCACTTCATCGCTAGTGATAAGTTGTCACTTCACCGTGAAGTGACATCGGTAATAAGAGCCCTTACCTACAAAGCAGTTCAAATGAAATTATCGGAAATTAGGTCTTAGAATAGTGTGACGGTCATTCCGAAGAGTGTATCAAGGAAATTATTAAGAATAAGGGAATTTCATAGAGAAAAATTGAAACAAAATTATGCCAATTCTTGGAAGTTATAAGTTAACCAGTTTGAGGGAATTGTGGAGCTGGAGAGTGATTTATATGAGATTACGAGAGATAATGCTAAGAACTCTTAGAATGTTACTGAAAAAGTTTGGATGTTATCAAGATTATTTTAGGAGAATCCAGAAAAGAAGTATGATGGAATTCTAGGATGACTCAAATGGAACTCTGAAAAAAGGACGAAGATATCGTGTGAAGTGGTCCAAGTAAATTAGAACTAACAAAAAAAATTTCATGATCTGGGACCCATGAAAAATATAAATTTCAGAATTTAGAATCATTTCAAGACCCTGAGACTTCAACAATGACGCTATCAGACTTTCATTTTAGTTATATAATAAAATTATTCTTTGGCATACAATTATTCGTAATGGTCATGAAAATAGAGGAGTTACCCGTAGTTTAGGCAAACTGTGTGTGAGTACCACGATGTTAGGCTTTGATTCCCACTTCAGCCAGGTGAATTTTACTTTAAAATAAAATTGCCTCCTAAAATGTCATGCTGGTAGACGCTGATGCCCTGTTTACATTATGCTAGTGAGCTTTTTTTCTAGCAGCTAGCTCATTAGCGCTAGTGAAATAGCATAACTGTAAACACCCCATAAGTCAGCGACCTTCACGAACGCCGCACTGTGGCACTGTTGTCTCTTCACATGTTCCCTCTTCAGACCTAGAACTGTACGGCAAAAAACGTAGGATTTTTCGTACGATGACTTCAGATGGAGGTTCAAATAGTAGATTCGAAAGGTGTTTTCTCGCCTCATCGTGATGAAAAAAAACGTCTACACATCTCAGAGGCTCATTTTAATCATAAATGCTATTTCCGTGCAACACTTTACAGACATTTTTCTGGACGCTTTTGAATAATGATTAAAATTAAATTAAATACGAAATCAACCCAACCAAAATTCAAATCTGATTTGGTCTACTTGCGCTGTAAAATAAATGTCCTTCAATCATGGCCACCTTGGTCTTTGTCATAAAGGCAATCGTAATATCAAGACCAACAATTGAAAAGGCCTCAACTCCATTTTTTTCACGAACCGCCAACGCAAACCAACATCATGATCAGGTAGGGGAAATTCTCCTCTACCCTATTGTGGTTTAGGTTTGCGAATGTAGCTTTCGGTTTGCGACAAAATTGCCTTACAGGGTTTGTTTACAAAATGGAGTTGAGGCCTTGGTCTTCATATGTCGGAAAGAGGTGACTCAATTTTTATGTCGCTCGAGCGTAAAATGGTGGATAAGCTGTTCTGCAGCTAAAATTGGGTTCTGTAAGGGTATTGCGATCAGTAATGCAAAATATCATGACAATCACTCGACACTCATCAACGCATCAACCGACTAAATATGGCTGGCAGAACGTTTTGTCACGCAGTGAGAGGTAGAGCCATGGCAAACAACGATCACCAGTAATGGTCACTGCTCACTGGCAAAACGTAACACTCGCTGCTGATGATGTAAAGTACAACGAAAACAGTGAAGACTTCTGCAGAACGATGATGAGAAAAAGCGAAACGATAGAAGAAAATGAAAACAATGCCTACGCATTCCAAGTTCGTCTCGGTACGCGCGACTGTGTGAGTTGCAAACAAAGCTGGCAAAATTAAACGGAATCTGTTGGGCTCACTCACCAACACACTCACATAAGCAAGCAAAGCAGCAACTGCTTCAAAACGAGCACATATGAGTGTCGTGATTGTTGGGAAGACGACATTCACCAGTTGCTTTTTACTTCTTTCGTCAACTTGATGGATGGTCATGAAGAGAGCTTCGACAAGCACATTGATAGGAATTTAGCAAGCGTTACTATCATCAGCTGTTTTCGATCGTGATTGTGATACGTCGCAACTCTGATTACGATAAATGCATATTCGAAATCTACATTGAAAATGGAACCGATATCCAAAATTTTATCAATGTGTTGGCAAAATCATCAATGAAATAATATTTTTCCACTCTCATACGCTCTCACTATCACGCGTGATATTGGAACAGAATATCATGCTTGATATTGATTTTACAAGCTCCTTTGATATTGCGAGGCTATTCACAACGCGCAAAAATCAAGCTGAGAGCTGACTCAACACAGAAATGATTCCGTTCCACATCGTTTTCTTGGTAAGAGAAAGTATAGTTTGCTATCTCTTTTTAATCTTCACCGATGGCAGACCCGAAGGGACTGCTGCCAGCCGTTATGGAAGATTCGGTTGCATTCGGGTGTATAGCAAAATCATTAAACTCAATCTCACCACAGTTTGGTGAGATTTGCAGTTGGTGAGTTTTGTTAGCATGATATTCCGAGCTGCGATATCACAGCTTGCGAAATCAACCGCAGATGTTGCTTGTTGATTTCTGTCTACGAAAATCAAGGGTGATCTTGAGCACTGGTGAGGTTTGATTTTTTGATGTTTTTCCAACACTGGAACTATTTTAAATACATGATAAATTTTACTAAGATAAAGAGCCCTAGATTTTGATTTGGAGATTAGTTAGATAATCTCCAATTATTTGCACTACCCGAGGCACTTCCCCAATATGAGAGAAGGAATTTTAGGAATGTAGTCAATACATGGTCGCCATTAGTGCTTTTGAAACACAGGATAGACAATTCGGTGCCAACATTGCAAAAGAGCGAAGCTGTTTTTTGTAAACAATGACTCCCACCTATTCCAGCTGGCAGAGAAAACATTCCTCGATGTTGTCGTTACTTTGCATGTGTGAGATTTTTTCTTCGCTTAAGCCATTGTTTACAAAAGCAATTTCGCCCAGTTTCAATGTTGGCACCGAATAGCAGGATTGTGAAAATGGAATATTCTTTAACCTTTAACGCATGAATATCTATTGTTTTGTTTGTTTCCTAAGGGAATTGGGTTTCTTTTCTCTAAACAACAACCAATTTGCTAATCACCTACACTAGCAACTAGCCTAACCTTCAACCTCGATTGTTAGAAACTGTTAATTTTCTTCACTTAATTGACGCAATATCTTTCAGCTTTAGCTCAATTGAAAAAAAAACAAGGAACTACGCAAATTTACATGCACGGTACGAATTTCCGACGGTATCGTTTTGCCATCGAACAGAAAATAATATTTAACTAGGATATGATTCGAAATGTATAAATTTTCATCGCACATTGCCGTATAAGAACATAGGTGGGAAGGGTTTCAATGTCGGTTGGTTTGTATGCCTTCTCTTATGACTGACTAATACTGATGTTTGAAACGTTTGTTCGTTGTTATTGTTGAAATTAAGATTCCGTCGCACTTAATGGGCAGCATAGATGATATCCTGAAAATCAGTTCTACCATGCTTCTTAGAAACTCTACGAAAATGTGCTCTACAGTTTTGAGAAATCCGACAATTCGATTGTTGAAAATCAGTTAAATTTTGAAATTAAGGGGAATTCAAATATTTTCGAGAACCACACCGAAGAAAACCGGTGAACGAATGTTAGAGTCTCCATTCTAAGTAGCTTGCACACAATATTGCAGACAAGTGGTTATGCTTTTTTTGGTCACCCGCACGGACGATGAGACCGAGTCAAAATTGAGTTGACTTCGGCTTGATTTTTGCAGAAAGTGGATTTGCTTACAACGGGTAAATTTTTTTTCGATTTTCTCGTTCGAAAAGTTCTCGAAAATCGCCGAAATGTTACTCTGTCTAGGAGTGTACTTAGAATGAGTGAAACCTCCTTCGCCTTTCCTCATATTCGAGAAGTTCGTGGAAAATTTTTCTTGAAAAATTGAGTCGAATCCAACTTAGCGTTTCATCAACAAAATAGATTTCACGAACAATTATAACAACAACAATGCAAACGTTTTCTCTTGCATAAGAGTCATAAGATAGCATCTACCAACCATCTCCGATGCCAACTATTCAAGTCCAATTCAAATGAAATAAAAATTGATCTTTCCAGGGTCCGATTGTGAAGTCTAATTTCATAATCCTAATAAATATCTTCTTTAGCGCTAATTTAACCATTTGCAATATAACCACAACTAGCCTTTCTACTTACCAACATATTACAGTAACCGTACCTTTCCTAATCAGATCTAAAACTTCTAAAGCGCCTATTTATTTAATAGTAAAAGATTCCTAGAATCTATAAATTCCGATACGCGCTCTTTCTCTCCGCCTCCCTCCTGTCTGTGAGCGACTAGAACGACACTTTGGGTTGTTTTTTTGGTTTGTTTTCTTGGATAAATAACGCATCTAAATGTACATATCACTATCGCTCTAAGTATGTTAGGCTACATGGGTGGCCGCTATCTACCAGATGTCGCAGTTCTTCTGGTAGCTCAGCATCGTACTCGAGTGGCACAGAAAGACGTCCGACGCGCTGCCACCCTGCGAAATCAGCCACGTCAAGCTGGAATCGAGAAAAGGCAAAGTTTCAATTTCAAGAACTGTCATTCAGATAGTCACCTGCCACCTACATCTCATCGAAATCGTTGGAATGGACGTCGACTCCGCTGTACTCGGACTCGGCGCACAGTTCCTGGGCGGACATGAGGAAGAATATCTGCGGTGGCGTAAGGCTGAGGCCCGGCAGCCGGTTCATTCCCTTGATGGGCCCGGTCAGCGACAGGAGCGTGTGGTAGGCGATTTGCATCCCGCCCGAGTAGATGAGCAGGTCCATCCGGCTCGAGTTGGAAAAGATGTCCACCGAGTTCGGGACGCACTGCATGACCTTGCCCTCGAAGGCCTTGGTGATGGAACGGAGGATTTCCTTGGCCAGCGCCGTACCCAGGGTGGCGTAGTGCAGATACTGCGGCAGCACCGGGTTGAAGTACGGCACCAGGACGACGGACAGCGGGACCACGATCGAGTGACTGAGGGTGTCGTAGAAGATTTTCGCGATCTGCGGGTAGGCGTAGCTGGAAGGAAAGAGAGGAATGGTTGATGATTTCAATTTTACACTCCCTAAACTGATTGATAAACTTGTGACCTTTAATTATGGCGCCCCTGACGATTCTTGGTCGGTGAAAAAAATTGCTCCGTAGTTCGCAAACTTCTACAAAGTGCACTGAACTGTTATGAAGTTTGTCGTTCTTCTAAAAAGTTCCCTAAAAAGCAAATTTAGTTGATTTTCTGCAAAGTTCCCTGAACTTATTTAAAGTTTCCATGACTTTTACGGAGTTCCCAAAACTTGTTCAACGTTCAAACATGTACGACGCATTTCCGAATTTCTACAAAGCTGCCTGAAATTCAACACAGTTTTCTGAAGCTCTTAGAAGTTCCCAGAATTTCTACTAAATTTCCTGAATTTCCACGAGTCCCCTGAACTTTGGAACTTTGGATGGGACTTTGTACCTGAACTTGTAAGAAATTAGTTGATTACAACATATCCAAATATTAGTAAAGTTCCCTTAACTTCAACAAAGTTTCCCAGACTTGTTCAAAGTTCAAACTTGAGTCGTTTTCCCGAATTTTTACAAAGCAGTCTGAAAGGAATTCAGGCAGTTTTTTGAAGCTCTAAGAAGTTTGTCGCATTTCTACTAAATTTCCTGAATATCTACGATGTTTCCTGATCATCTAAAAAGCCCCTAGAGTTTTACAAAAGTTAATGAACTTTTAGAGAAATCCCACAACTTGAACGAAGCTCTCCAAATTTCTATAAAATTTGCTAAATTTCTCTTGATTTCACAAAATATCTTCACATTCTGATGAAGTTCTTCACAGTGCTCTGAAGCTCTTCGAAGTTCTCCGAATTTCTACTAAATTTCATGAAATTTTTACGATGTTCCCTGAACATCTACAAAGTTCCTGAAGTTTTATGAAAGTCAATTAAGTTTGAGATAAATTCCAGAACTTCAACGGAGCTCTCCGAATTTCTGCTAAATTTGATGAATTTCTACGATGTCCCCTGAACATCCACAAACTCCTTGAAGTCTTACGAAAGTCAATGAAGTTTAAGTGAAATTCCTAAGCATCAACGAAGCTCTCGAACTGTCTATAAAATTCACTAAATATCTCTGAAGTTCACCAAATATCTATAAATTCTGATCAAGTTCAACGCAGTTCTCTGAAGCTCATCGAAACTCCCCGAATTTCTACTAAATTTCCAGAATTTCTACTAAATTTCTTGAAATTTCTAAGATGTCACCTGAACATCCATACAGTCCCTGAAGGTTTTCGAAAGTAAACGAAGTTTGAGAGAAATCCCTGAACATCAACGAAGCGTTTAGAATGTCCATCAAATAAATTTCTCTCATTTTCACCACATATCTACAAATTCTGATGAAGTTCTACGCAGTACTATGAAGCTCTTCGCAGTTCTCTGAAGCTCTTCGAAGTTCCCCAAATTTCTACTAAATTTCCTAAATTACTACTAAATTTTATAAATTTTCTACGCTGTCCCTTAAACATCTACAAAGTCCCTGAAGTTTTTTGAAAGTCAACGAAGTTTGAGAGAAATCCCTGAACTTGATTGAAGCTCTTGGAATGTCTATCAAATTCGCTAAATTTCTCTCATTTCCACCAAATATCTACAAACTCTGATGATGCTCAACGCAGTTCTCTGAAGCTCTTCGAAATTCCCCGAATTTCCTAAATTTCTACTAAATTTTATCAAATTTCTACGATGTTCCCTGAACATCTACAAAGTCCCTGAAGTTTTACGAAAGTAAACGAAGTTTGAGAGACATCCCTGAACTTGATCGAAGCTCTTAGAATGTCTATCAAATTCGCTAAGTTTCTCTCATTTTCACCAAATATCTACAAATTCTGATGAAGCTCAACGCAGTTCTATGAAGCTCATCGAAGCTCCACGAATTTCTGCTAAATTTCCAGAATTTCTACTAAATTTCCTGAATTTCTACGCTGTCCCTTAAAAATCTACAAAGTCCCTGAAGTTTTTCGAAAGTCAACGAAGTTTGAGAGAAATCCCTGAACACCAACCGACTTTATATAAAATTCGTTAAATTTATGTTAAGTTCATCAAATATCTACAAATTCTGATGAAGCTCTACGCAGTACTATGAAGCACAACGCAGTTCTCTGAAGGTCATCGAAACTCCCCGAATTTCAACTAAATTTACAGAATTTCTACAAAATTTCCTGAAGTTCTACGCTGTACCTTAAACATCTACAAAGTCCCTGAAGTTTTTCGAAAGTCAACGAAGTTTGAGAGAAATCCCTAAACTTCAACAAAGTTCTCCGACTTCATATAAAATTCGTTAAATTTCTGTTAAGTTCACCAAATATCTACAAATTCTGAGGAAGTTCTAGGCAGTTCTCTGAAGCTCTTCGAAGTTTCCCCTATTTCTACTAAATTTCCTAAACTTCTACTAAATCTCCTAAATTTCCTAAATTTCTACTAAATTTCCTAAATTTCTATTAAATTTTATGAAATTTCTACGATGTTCCCTGAACATCTAAAAAGTCCCTGAAGTTTTACGAAAGTAAACGAAGTTTGAAAGAAATTCCAGAACTCGAACGAAGCTCTTAGAATGTCTATCAAATTCGCAAAATTTCTCTCATTTTCACCAAATACCTACAAATTCTGATGAAGCTCAACGCAGTTCTCTGAAGCTCATCGAAGTTGCCCCGAATTTCTACAAAATTTCCTGAGTTTCCACTAAATTTCTTGATCTTCTGCTAAATTTTCTGAATTTCTACGCAGTCCCTTGAACCTCTACAAAGTCCCTATAGTTTTTCGAAAGTCAACGAAGTTTGAGAGAAATCCCTGAACATCAACGGAGCTCTCCAAATGTCTATAAGATTCACTAAATATCTCTGAAGAACACCAAATATCTATAAATTCTTATCAAGTTCAACGCAGTTTTCTGAAGCTCATCGAAGCTACTCGGAATTTCTACAAAATTTCCTGAATTTCTACAAAATTTTATAAATTTTCTACGCTGTCCCTTAAACATCTACAAAGTCCCTGAAGTTTTTCAAAAGTCAACGAAGTTTGAGAGAATTCCCTGAACATCAACGAAGATCTTAGAATGTCTATCAAATTCGCCGAATTTCTCTCATTTTCACCAAATATCTACAAATTATGATCAAGTTTTACGCAGTTCTCTGAAGCTCTTCGCAGTTCTCTAAAGCTCTTCGAAGTTCCCGGAATTTCTACTAAATTTTATGAAATTTCTACGATGTTCCCTGAACATCTACAAAGTCCTTGAAGTTTTACGAAAGTAAACGAAGTTTAAGAGAAATCCCTGAACTTGATCGAAGCTCTTAGAATGTCTATCAAATTCGTTAAATTTCTCTCATTTCCAACAAATATCTACAAATACTGATGAAGCTCTTCGCAGTTCTCTAAAGCTCATTCGAGCTCCCTGAATTTCTACTAAATTTCTTGAATTTCTACGCTGTCCCTTAAACATCTACAAATTCCCTGAAGTTTTTCGAAAGTCAACGAAGTTTGAGAGAAATCCCTGATCATCAACGAAGCTCTCCAAATGTCTATAAGATTCACTAAATATCTCTTAAGTTCATCAAATATCTATACATGCTGATCAAGTTCGACGCAGTTCTATGAACCTTTATAAGTTCTCCAATTTTCTACAAAATTTCCTGAATTTTCACACATTGTTTTGAATTTCTACTAAATTTTCTGAATTTCTACGCTTTCTCTTGAACATATACGAAGTCCTTGAAGTTTTTCGAAAGTCAACGAAATTTGAGAGAAATCCCTGAACATCAACGAAGCTCTCTAAATGCCTATCAAATTCACTAAATATCTCTTAAGTTCACCAAATATCTATAAATTCTGATCAAGTTCGACGCAGTTCTCTGAAGCTCGTCGAAACTATCCGAATTGTTACACAATTTCCAGAATTTCTACTAAGTTTCTTGAATTTCTACTAAATTTCATGAATTTCTACGCTGTCTTTTAAACATCTACAAAGTCCCTGAAGTTTTACGTAAGTCAACGAAGTTCGAGAGAAATCCTTGAACTTCAACGAAGATCTCCGACTTTAAATAAAATTCGCTAAATTTCTCTCATTTTCACCAAATATCTACAAATTCTGATGAAGTTCTACACAGTACTATGAAGCTCTTCGCAGTTCTCTGAAGCTCATCAAAACTCTCCGATTTTTAAAAAAAAATCGAGGATTTCCTGAATTTCTACGCTGTCCCTTAAACATCTACAAAGTCCCTGAAGTATTTCGAAAGTCAACGAAGTTTGAGAGAAATCCCTAAACTTCAGCAAAGTTCTCCGATTTAAAAAAAATCGTAATATTTCTGTTAAGTTCACCAAATATCTACAAATTGTGAGGAAGTTCTACGCAGTTCTCTGAAGCTCTTCGAAGTTCCCCGAATTTCTACTAAATTTCCTAAATTTCTACTAAATTTCATGAAATTTATACGGAACATCCTTGAAAATATCTACAAAGTCTATGAAGTTTTAAGAAAGTCAACAAAGTTTGAGAAAAATCTCTGAACTTGAACGAAGCTCTTCGAATGTCTATCAAATTCGCTGAATTTATCTTATTTTAACCAAATATCTTTAAATTTTGATGAAGTTCTACGCAGTTCTAGGAACCTCTCAAAGATCTCCGTAATTCGTCTAAATTTCGTGAATACCCACTAAATTTCTTAAATTTCTACTGAATTTTCTGAATTTCTACGCTTTACCTTGAACATCTACAAAGTTCCTAAAGTTTTTCGAAAGTCAACGAAATTTGAGAGAAATCCGTGAACTCAAACGAAGCTCTTTGAATGTCTATCAAATTCGTTAAATTTCTCTTATTTCCATCAAATATCACAAATTCTGATGAAGCTCAACGCAGTTCTCTGAAGCTCATCGAAGCTGCCCCGAATTTCCACAAAATCGTCTGAATTTTCACCAAATTTCTTGAATTTTTGCTTAATTTTCTGAATTTCTAAGTAGTCCCTTGAACATCTACAAAGTCCCTGTAGTTTTTCGAAAGTCAACGCAGTTTGAGAGAAATCCCTGGTCATCAACGAAGCTCTCTAAATGCCAATCAAATTCACTAAATATCTCTTAAGTTCACCAAATATCTATAAATTCTGATCAAGTTCGACGCAGTTCTCTGAAGCTCATCGAAACTCTCCGAATTGTTACAAAATTTCCAGAACTTCTACTAAATTTCCTAAATTTCTACTAAATTCTATAAATTTTCTACGCTGTCCCTTAAACATCTACAAAGTCCCTGATGTTTTTCGAAAGTCAACGAAGTTTGAGAGCAATCCCTAAACTTCAACGAAGTTCTCCGACTTTATATAAAATTCGTTAAATTTCTGTTAAGTTCACCAAATATCTACAAATTGTGAGGAAGTTCTACGCAGTTCTCTGAAGCTCATCGAAGCTGTCCCGAATTTCTACTAAATTTCCTAAATGTCTTCTAAATTTCATGAAATTTATACGATGTTCCCTGAACATCTACAAAGTCCCTGAAGTTTTACGAAAGTCAACGAAGTTTGAGAGAAATCCCTGAACTCGAACGAAGCTCTTAGAAAGAATTTGCTAAATTTCTCTTATTTTATCCAAATTTTGATGAAGTTCTACGCAGTTCTATGAACCTCTCAAAGTTCTCCGAAATTCGTCTAAATTTACGGAATTTCTAAAATATCCCCTGAACATCTGCAAAATTCCAAACTTTTAACGAAAGTCAATGAAGCTTGAGAAAAATCTCTGAACTTCATTCCGAAATTCTATAAAATTCGCTAAATTTCTCAGTACGCTAAAGATCTAAAAAATGTGAAGAGTTCTACACAGTTTTCTGAAGTTCAACAAAATTGGCTGAAATTATGAGAGTGACTGATTTAATTTTGAATTTTCTGAACTTCAACAAAATTGAAAATTGTGCAGTATGGGAAATGGCTCTAATGTTGGCCTAAGTGCCCCTAATTTGGGCCCATACATAAATTCAGCAATCGACTAAATTTTCAATAGCGACCAAAAATATCCATTAGTACCGTCCCAATGACGCGTTCAGCTAGATATAATTGATAAATAGCAAATTTTTAGCGATGGGCCCAATCTTAGATCCATAGGTCAACATTACATTAGATCCATAGGCCAACAGAGAGAGCAGCAGACTCATGGAACCACCAGCTGAGCGGAAGATTCGTGGAACCATAACCGAGGCTGGAAACCTCGGTCCAGTCACGACAATGGCGTAACTCGGTTAGTGAAAACCAGATAAAGCTTTCTTGTGAGGATGCTACTGGTGCTCCCGGAGAAGGCAGTTTGAAATTCCTCTAAGAGGGCAGATGAAATTCCCCCGAGAGGGTAGATGAAATTCCCCCAAAAGGGTGGATGAAATTCCCCTAAGAGGGTAGATGAAATTCCCCCGAGTGGGTTGATAAAATGCCCCCGAGTGGGTTGATAAAATGCCCCCGATCTTCAATAAACGAGAGTAGGAGAGGGGAAGAATGAAGTAGATAGAGTTAGTGTGGAATAGAAATGAGTAGAATCGAGTGAGCGTGAAGCGTGATAGACCGTATGAAAACGGGATCTCTTTGGTTCGGAAATTTTGCTAGAGGTATACATATGAGGTACCTAAGCTCGTTGACTACACTGCCGTCTACAAACAAATCATCCTTCCCGTAATAGAATACGGGATGCCAATCTGAGAGATTTGCGCCAAATGCCACCACCTTAAACTCCAAAGGATCCAGAACAAGATCCTAAACAGTCCCCCGCGGACTAGAAATTCTGAGATCCACCTCCTGGCTGGAATTCAAACATTAGAAGAACGGAGCGTATGCATCCTGGACAGGTTCAGAGACACCTGTCTGAGATCAAATCATCAGATCATACGTGATCTAGCACGTTAAGTTAAGTTATATTCGTAGTTAGGTAGGTTTTCACTTTTTTCAATTCAACAACAAAACACACCCCCAAAGGGATATTCTTTAAACTAGTTGAAAAACGCAAATATTAAATTAGAATATCAAATTAATCAAAGATCAAGAGACAGGTAGGCTACTCAATTAAAATGATAAATCAATGTACTATCATAATCAACAGAAATAAACATAATTTTACTACTACTACTACTCGTTGACTGCACTGCACTTTGGAGAGATCGGACGATCGGCAAAAGACAAAAACAGAGGGAGCAGCAGATTCGTGGAACCGTGACCGAGGCTGGAAACCTCGGTCCAGTCACGACACTTACTTTGGAGTTGATGCCTTTCACCTGCTCTCTTGTTGTTGTCAAAAACGAAAAGAACAAAACAACCCAAACTTGAGTTCTATTCACCCAACTCGACAGTTCCGTGCGCCAAGTTAAAATTGAGTAAGTTGTGTAAAACTCAATTTTGAGTAGTTTGAACTGGACGTTGAGTGAAAACAACTTATAAGTAAGTAATCATGCGAGTCAATGAAAACAACTCAAAATTGAATAGGCACACGGAACTGCCAACCTGGGTGAAAAGAACTCAAAATTAGGTCCCTTTTTCTTTCCGTGTAAGCACAAACTTACTTTCAGGACAAAGTAAGGCATATTCAATAGGATGTAACATTTCCGGTAGAAGCAAACTTACGCCGTGTGGGTGCTCTCCGCCGAGACATTCCTCACCGACGAACGGTTGTTGTTGAGCTGGTAGATTTTGAGCACATTCTCGAACCAGTTGTCGGAACTGATTTCAATCTGAAAAGGAAAATTAAACCACCATTAGAAATAAGGATAATTGTTCATCGCCGAACGTAAAAAAAATGTTCAAACCTGATCCAGAATGGAAGCGATTTCCGTTCGGTTGAACAACGTTGGCCACACCTTGGCTTGGACCTTGAGCTGCGAGAGACGCACCAGGGCCGCTCCCCGCAGCGACGGAGCCCGCTTCAGGTGTTGCTTCATGTTTTCGAACATTTCCTCTGTCTGTAAAGGAAGTAATCAATTTGAGTTACAACCCGCCACCGTTTTACCACCGTCAGTCAATTTGACATTGATTGAATAAACGGAACCAAAACTAATGCTGTATGTATTTTAGTGTGATGCCCCAGTTCGGAAGTGCAAACACGCAAATCAAGAAATATGGCACATCAATTTCCGCAGTCGTCGATTGAGTGCGAGGTAGGCGTGTAAATCATGTTTTATTACTGCCGCATTTTGGCGCCATAAATCACGGAAAATTGACATCCGGTGTAGCTATCGTGAATCGTAAGTTCACGTGATTTGAAAGAGTGTAAATCGTAAACTTTTACAGATGTTTGAATGTTAACGATGCAGGGAATCATGTAGGATTTGTTGACTGACTGACTGACCATTTGCGTGTTTATGCTGATGAATGGGTTCAGTTCATCATTAGCATGCAACTGACGTGCAGTAGGTACCTACAGGCACTTGGCCACTTGCATTATTTTGTGCACGCAAACAAAGCAATCATTAGCTAGGTAGCTACATACAAGTTGCAAACAAGGTATAAATAATGTTTGAAAACTACTCTTAGGATATTGCTTTTCTTTGCACTGCCTTTGTTTCTGCTTTCGCTAGAGTGGATTGATTTGTTCTGGAAGCGTTGCTTTGAGCTGGGTATTTTTTTTCTTTCGTAGAACACTCACAACACAACCTTGAGTTTGGGTTCGCATGCTGACTAGGCAAAGTACATATATCAATTCTGCAAAAATACGAACCTTGTGTAGTGACCCAGTTCTGAGACATATATTCATGCTACAAATCTTCGTGAAAACTTCACTCAACGTTCACTAAGTGAAGTTCTCTTAAATTATACGAAGGTTCCTGTACTTCCATAAAGTTTCTTGAATTCAAAATAAGCTCCCTGAATTTCTTTCCAATCCATTGAGCATATCCGAAATTCCCAGCGCCTCTATGGTGTTCCATGAATTTGTGGGCAGCTCTGCAAACTTCTGGAATGTGCTGTGAACTTTTTATCCATAGTCAACAAATGCAATGCTCGCTGAACATCTACAAAGTTCCCTTGACTTCTAGAAAATGCTCTCAGCTTCTTCGAAGTTCCCTGTGAATTTCTGCCAAACTTCTGGCAAGATCCTGAACCCAGGAATAAAAAATCATTTACATTAATTTGCTTCTAACTTTTTGCATCAATAGAATTCCTTCAAAAGCTTCATTTCATATATAATTTTACGGAATTCTGTTGATGAAAAAAGTTAGAAGCAAATGAATGTAAATGAAAGCACGAAATGAATGTAAATGATTGTTCATGCCTACCTGAGCCATTTCTACGAAAATTTCTGAACATTTGGTCAGTTCCCTGTAATTAAATACCCAAAACTTCCAGGAACTTCATTAGACTGTTTTGAATTAAGTTCTCTGACAAACTCTGACTAAACTAATACGAAGATCCCTGAAGCATGAGCATGATTGACCGCCCACGGTTGCTACTCTGTTATTGCCAGACCAGCTGAAATTACACAGAGAACCAATAGACGATGCTTGGGACCAGCAATCATCCTCGATGTGTGAAAACTGGGGATCTCAAACTAGACAATACCAGCGCCGGCCGCGCCCGAACACAGGTTAAGAAAGGAAGGGATAGGAATGTGTTGACGTGGGAGGCCCCGTAGTCATGTTAACAAATTAAACGATAGACGAATCTTGAATGTGGATGGGCTTGGGATTAGACTCATGATGTTCTGCTCAGTAAGCAAAAACGGTTGCTCTAAGGCCACCGAGCCCCTCATATCACATTATACCGTTACTCAAGTTGTTATAACTATTCAAACCCCGCACCGACGACAACGAAAAGTTTTACAAAATACACGATAAACAAGCGATCATACATTTTTAATGTCAAATTCTAAGACTAAAAGCTACGAAAGAGTACTTAGGCCTTCATTAATTTCCACTTTCACGCGACGTTCAATGTTTCGATTTGCTCTTTACGCATGGTTCAGGCAATCATAACAAGCTATCACCGACGTGACGATTGTTTAATCCCTGGTTAAACCAGTTATTCAATTGAAATTACGTTCTCGAATTTCTCTTGGTATGTTATGAACAACAGAAATAAGCGATAATTCATGTAGTTTCAGCGGTTGATGGTTAATTTTAAATATATTAAAAGTACTGCCTACGGCGACTACGACGGCGTATACGACAGCGACTACGACGGCGGATACGACGACAACAACAGCGAATTTGTGAGCTTCGTGTCTAGTGCTTTCCCAGGAACCGTTCACGGCCACCAGCTACTGCCCGTCCAGTCTTGGGCGTATCCAACGAGGCATCCTTGAGCTTGCTCATAATCTCCGACACTGGCGTGAAAACAGCAGACGAGCACTTTTGCAAGCCGTAAACTCGCTGATTCATGGCAACGTCGGCAACCAAATCACCACCAAAACTCACGTCGGACACATTATCAGCACTCATCAAACTCGCACACGGTGACGAGACTCTCGATAGAACTACACGCCCAAAGCGTAACATCCGGTAGACAATGAAAATCACAAGCACACTTACAAAAAACACACCCATGGAAAGAAACGGAACTATTTTTAATTTGCTCACTACTTGACTAGCCTATTGGTCCCAAGCAAATCGATTGACGTACCCCATTCTAGTCGAAATTCTAGTACTACACTATGTTTGTTTTGATTCGCTATGAAAGATTGACAGATACAATGAGGGGTTCGCGGATTTTCCTATGTTTCGAGGGGTGCATCGATTAGCTTGGGATCGAAGAGAGTACCAGAGCTGAAAACTGGAGAGTTGTCAGTCTTCTTGATATTTTGTCTTTGATAAAAGAGAATGATGTTTTTTAAAACTTCGCATGACGTCTCTGAATATGGCGAATGTTGCCTGAAATTCACAGATATATGTTAAAATTTGGGACCGCCCTTAGCTCAGTCGGTAAAGGCCCAGCTACAAAGCAAGACCATGCTGGAGGTGGCTGGGTTCGATTCCCGGTTCGGTCTAGGATTTTTCTGGTTGAAAAGTTTCTCGACTTCCCTGAGTATGATTGTACTTGCCACACAATTATACTAATGCAAAAATGGTACAGGCATCGAAAGCTCTCAATTAACCCTTCGTTACTCGCGCTAACTTTTGTAACACGAGTGCGTTCTACTTTGTACAACAGTGTAAGTTTTCCATTGCCATTTTGCAGCCGAACTACCAATCGATATGAAACCAACTGGTATTCCTTAAAAAACTTGTTTTTAACTAAACAAGTTAAACTTTTATCACAGTTAACCCCCAAAAATGCGGATAATAGAGAAAATGTGAATGGAAACCGCGTAAACGGTGTCCGTACTACGTGGGATTTGACTTAATTGGTTACAACATGGAAAATCTCGAGATCCTGACCAGATAGAAAGTTACTGTCTTCGGCAAACTTGTTCAGTGGGTCAAGTATTTTTGGCTGGTGGACAGTAGTTCAGAATTTTCTCACTATGCGGCGCTAGTATACACGTGAAATTCTCATATAAAATATCTCGAGATCCTGACCAGATAGAAAGTTACTGTCTTAGGCAAAGCTGTTCATGAGATCATAGCCTTTTTGCTGTGAACAGTAGTTCAGAATCTTCTCACTAGGTAGTGCTCGTATACATGTTAAGTTCTCGCATGTGATACATCACTAGATCCTGACCAGATAGAGAGTAAATGTCTTTGGCAAAGTTGTTCAGGAAGTCAAGATCTTTTCGTTGGTGGACAGTTGTTCAGAATTTTCTCACTACTCGGTGCTAGTATCCACACGCAATTCTCGCAAATACAATAGCTCGAGATCCTGAGCAGATAGGAAGTTACTGTTTCCGGAAAATTTGTTTAGGGGGTCAAGACTTTTTGGCTGGTGGACAGTAGCCCAGAAATTTCTCACCACGTGGCGCTAGTAAACGTGTACAATTCTAGCGTATGCTATATCTCGAGATTCTGAACAGGTAGAAAATTACTGTCTTGGAAAAAGTTATTCATGAGGTCAATGCCTATTGCCTGGTACACAATAGTTCAAAATTTTCACACTACGTGGCGTTAGAATACACGCGAAATTCTCGCATGTAAAATATCTCGAGATTCTGACCAGATATTTTTCGCTAGTGGACAGTAGTTCAACATTTTCTCACTACGTAGCGCTAGAATACACGTGTAATTCTCGCCGCATGTGGTTTGTTTCGAGATGCTAAGTGGCGCTAGTATACACGTGAAATTTTCTCGAGATCCTAAACAGCTAGAAATTTACTGTATTTGGCAAAGCTTTTAAGGAGATAAAGATCTTTTAGCTGATGAACAGTAGTTCAGAAATTTCTCAAAACTTGGCGCATATCAAGTATCATAAAATAAAAATACAATTTACATCAGCCTAAGTGGGATAAGACAAATATATTCTGGATACATAAATTGGGGTGAGTCTTCCACTTGTATACCTCTGATAAATTAGTGATAAAACGTATCTCAGATGGAAAACATTATCTTAAAAGATCAATATCACTGAAACTTCCATCAAATGAATGTTTAGAGTCTCCCGTTCATTCTAGGCTAATTTCAAAATGTCTTATCGAGGGGTCTAGAACAAAAAAAAAATCCCTGTATTTACGTGTGCACGGACAACGAGATTAACTCAGAGAGTGAGGCACTTTTGCTCAGTTGAATGGAGAAATTTATGAAACCGTACACCCCCGATCATAAGTTTAAGGACACCCCCTAAAAACGTCCAATGTTCGTTCTTTTTAGAACATTTGAAAGATTGTGAATGGAAATACGAAGAGGCAAATTGCTCAATATCATTTTCAAATGTTGTATACCAAAGGTTCACCTAAAGTTACACTATTTTTCAAAATTTACTCTGAAGAATCATGATTGATTTTCTCATAATTGACCTGAAAAAAAGTTTTGAAATTAAAAGCAATAGTAGAACCATTATGCTCTACCATTCATACCATTCAAATAACCTAAGGAGATCA